AATTATGTGGCACTGTAGACTATGACATTCAGCGACGTACACTATAGAGATTCTCGATTTACCTCTTTAGTTTTGTGCTAAAAATCGATGAGAAATTTTAAGCGCTCAATTGTAAAACATTAATGTTCATCACTTGCCAGCAGCGGCTTTTCGGGTGCTATTGGTATATGAATTTTCACATTCTTCCTTATTATAATATTATAGTTATCCTGAAGTACTTCAAGCACATTAAATTTGCGTTAATGAGAGATTGATTTTGTTAACGTTAATAGAGAGTAGTTTTGCACCTTGTACGCTCTCGTAGTTGACATTTGTGCATTTTCCAAATTGAAACTAGAAGTATTCCAAAGCAATGTCAAGTCTTTCACAATTGACTATTTTTTGATAACTTCAAAAAGCAAGGTCTTTTAGGTGTCGAACCGCCTCCTGCAGGACCTGCAGAGATACTTTTCATACCAGTGTATAGTAGCAGATCTACAACTTTTGAACCGCGCATGCAAGAACCTCTCAAAAATACTCAGCAACAAGCAATATCGGCAACGAATCGAACAAGAAGTCCCACAATAGCACAAACTTTACCCTCAGTGCCTTCTACGTTCGTAACAACACTACTTTCGGCAATTGACAATCTTGTCGAAGATGATTCCGATTGGGAAAATCCAGGAGAAAGAACAACTGCGAAAACAATAGAACTAAAGAAGAAATCTTATGGCGTTCTTGGACCAAGAGTTTTGCCTCATAAGAAGGAAGATAACGTGAACGAAGCAAAACAACGTAGCGGTCCTCTCCGAAGTCACATAGTTGACTCTGATGGAAGACAAACTCTGATCATGAACCAAAGGCAACAAGGTAACAGAGGAAAACAACAACGACTTCCTTTATCAACATCCAGGTAATCAAGTAATTTGTAAGGACTATTGCTTGAAACATATTTTTTAATGTATTATGAATTATCAATAAGCGCGGGACATAGTACACAATTTGAGGTCTCAATAATTTTAGAGCTTATGAGCTTATTTAATTTTAGAGTTCCATTGTTTTTAAAAAACCTGAAATCTCACCCTGACAATATGTTAATTATATTTTTCCCCATTTCTAACCAAGCACTGGGCTCTTTCCATTCAACATAAAATGCGGAGAGATGTTGAAATCTCATCTATTCCACACTTTAAATACCTCTCCCCAAAATTGGTAACCTGTTCAAATCAGAAGGATAGCTCTTCTAATAATTGTGTATTTGTGAGCAACTGCGCTAAATTCCCTAATTAGGAGATGCACTCAACATCAAAGAGCTTTCGTGCCCAAAAGGTCGGTCAGCGCAGATTACGTTTGAAAGCACGTTTCCATTGTTAAAGTTTTTTTGGTTCCATTCAAAGGACACTGTAGTTTAGAAATCCATTTATGAGCGGTTTACCACTGACCATTCCTCAGGATTGCGGGGTAAAGCTGTTGGTCACTTCAATATAAAGAAAAACGGCGTTATCTCGAAAATAGCTCCAAAAGCGCTAAGGGCTTGATAGGACTAAATAGTAGTCACATAGCCCAGATAAGATAAGCATTCATAACCATTTTGCGGTCCGTAAATAGACATAACCTATGAGACTGAGGAAAAATCGCCGAGCCTTTTTGCGATTTAGGTCTCCAACGAAGACCTAGGAGAGCCTCTGATTAGCAAACACTTCTTTGTTTCTGATAATTTTTTTTTCCTTATATCAAACAGTTTTACGCATCCCTCGACCCGACCTCTAGCGCAATA